TGCTAATGAATCCGCTTACCAGACACAAATCGTTATTATGCTGGACGGTGTGCGCGCCCGAGACGCGCCTAATGTTCGATTTCCAATTTTCTCCCAGCTCCGCTGTAAGCCCCCTGCCAGACCTATTTTTGATTCCTGCGAGAGAGAGAGAGGAAGTGCCACTGGTTTATTTCCAGATGTAAAATCAATATTTGCATTCGTGTGTTTGGGGCTTTTCTTTGGAGCGGAGGAGACTGTAATTCCGTGTGCTTCCTTAATTGCTGTTGCTATTGCTATTCTGTTGACCTTGTCGAAATTTATGATATTTATTCGTGTGGCTTCTGGCCCCTCTGTTTCGGATTGTTTATCTTCGAGTTACACGCCGTCGTCTCTGGCTGCCCTCTGGCCGATAGCATGTGTTCGCTAATGGCCAAAAGACTCGACTCGGGAGACCTAAATTACGGTAGGGTCTGGGCTCTGTGGTCTGGGTCTTTCATGTCGTTTTTTCTCAATTATTTACTTGGTTTTTTGTGCACACGAATCACAAAAATTGTTTGATTGTCGCTCGCTGATTGTTTGAGTTGTGATTACAAGTTTTTAATGAATCCATTGAAGTTTGGAATTTTGTTTGATTCTTCAACAAAACTTGGATATTGAAATTGCTTTTGCCATGAGTGGGTCTACATCTATTGAGAGACAAACAAAGTCTTAAAGAATAGCAATGGCATGATAAGGGGAATATTTGTGGCGAATATTATTTATGAAAACTTTTGTAGAAAAGTCAAAAGCAGACTAAAATTCCTCTGTTTGATAAGCGAAATATTTATGGACATTTGCGAATGACATATTTATTTGTTAAAATATTTTTTAATTTGTTCAACTTTTTTACTGAATAAAAGGTTAAATAAGATATCGTTCCAATTAGAATTTTCCGTGAATATATTTTGGGGGGAATTCTTTATACACATCTGACCACACACTAAAAACCAGCGTGGCCTTATTAATAATATTAATTCCTATAACTGTCTTAAAAGTCTTATAACTGCTACCCAAAAATACCTATTTTGGAATTTTTACTGTTGAGAACTCCGATTAAACCCTTAATCTTATATAAATTATGCTTGATATATAATTCGTTATTTATACGAATTTGAATCTACCAGCAAAAATCCGTTTTATCTATAAAACCGAATGAAAGTCAAGGTCAAACCGCAATTATTCATTACGAAAGTGATATCATTTCTGGACTGAGGCTATAATTAAAATCTCTGTAGTAAGATCCATGACGTAATGTTCTACTATAGCTACAATCTCGTAAGTGTAATAACTGGCTCTGTATTGTATTGTTAGTTTTAAGCAATTAAATCTTGAACTACTTAATGGAAGAATCGTATGATCGGAAAAGGAATTTAATAATTTTATTTGATTTATTATTTATTATATTTTATTTATTTGATTTATTATTTATTATTTATCACATGTTATTTATATTTGTATATAATTTTTTTTATATTATTATTTTTGTATATTATTATTTTTTTCATATTATTATTTTTTTATATTATTATTTTTTTAATATATATTTTTTTTATATTTTAATTTGTCTGTATATTATTATTTTTTTTTATATTATAATGTTTTTATATTATTTATTTTTATATTATTTATTTTTATATTATTTATTTTTATATTATTAATTTTTTTTTATTAATTTATTAATTTATTATTAATTGAAATAAACTTTTATTTTTAATTTATTTTATTATGATTTATTTTATATAAAAGCTAAGCAGGAATAAACTGTAATCATTCCTTTATAGTCGATCGTGATTAATTTAGTATTACTTTCAAGCTGGGAAACCTTCGCTATAGCTTAAACCCGATTGCCATTCTCAATATCACAAGATTCTCTCATTACGGGGAAGCATTTCATTCATTTACGTAATCCCCAATGAATTGACAAACCCATAGATATATCCACACCTAGAGACACATTTAGATACCTACAGATTTGCTCAACTTGAGCTTGGGTGTTTTTCACACAGTCGCCGGAGCCGGTTCCGTGACCCAAACAAAGCACACACTACAAGATACATTCACATTTGCTCAGTTTGTTATTGCCGGCTCCACTCGGCTCGTCTCGACTCGTCTCGCCTGAGATATATATCTATATCTATGGCTGCCATAGGCACCCGTACATATAGATATTCGCACTTCAATTGGCTTGGGCTTGGGCTTGTTGAAATCTTTGATGTTTGATTTAAATTGAAAGAAAATTCATGAGTTGGCTCGAGAGCATCATCAAACAACACACAATTCCACGAATCGTGGCTTACCTCCGATTCAAATCTCTTATCTAATGAATTTTTATTTTATTGTTGTTTGCGTCGTGTAGGGAAATACAAAGGCAACAAAATTGTTGATCATCTGTGGGGGGATTCTCCGCGGTTTGTTAATTTTTGCTGTTTTTTTTTTGTTGCGAAAAATTTGTAATTGAAAATGTTTTGCATGTTAACTGAACTGCGAACTGAAAAATAACAGAAAAAATTCCCCAACAAAACAAACTAACAAAAAGGAAAAGATTAGAATTCAACACCGAAGATTAGGATACGCTTGAAAATGGATGGTGTCTATGAGAGATTAATACGATTTTGAATATTATTATTCCACTAGTTGTAGGCACAAACTCTTTATGATAAGATAATGATGAAAGGTTGGGCAGAGATACATATAGATACTATATAAATTTTCTTAGGAAAGGTCAATGTTCAGAAACGACCAATACTCGTATTCCTTTTGGGAAGTTTAAGGATTTTCGACTGTTTTTGATGCAATATGCTTTTCAAACCATAAAAAAAGACAGATTTTATGATGATATTTCATTAAAAAAATACATAAGAAGGTTGAACAGAAGGATAGACACTTCTAAAAAAAAAAATAATAATAATATTATGAGTTCTGAAAATCTTCCTTTCTAACGTTTCAAATATCCTTTAGTACCCTCTGAAAGGGTATAAATACATGTATAAAATTATAATTTGTTCTGCCTTTTGGAATGTTTAACAATTTGTTAGATTGTTGACTGTGACCCCCCCTCCCTTCCCCTCCCTCTATCTCTCTGTAGCCCTAAAGCCAAAGTTCAGAAGGTATTAATTTCCAGCCCTCCAGCCATCCCGCGTTTGTCTCATTTTCAGAGTTAATTTGTATAATGCAAGCCCCTGAGGGGCGTGCACAGAAATTGTCATTTCAGTGGCGGCAAGCGATTTGTGTGCTGCGCACTTCAGCGAGTACTCAAACATGCATTATAGATACATTATTATATATCTGCGAAATTAAGCTGGAATTTAAAGCAAAGCACACGCAACACGCACAGTGGGTTTCGCCTAACTTTGGGCTTATATTTCAAGCAAATTTTTGCTCTACAATCATCAGACTTAACCACGGCTAAACGATGTTTAATACACACGACACGAGCACAATAAATCAAGCTCAAGCTCCACACCTTTGCTATTTTGCCATTTTGCTGCTCTTTCCCCAGAGTTCATGAACTTTTTCGGTGGCACTTTTGTGGGGGGGCGTCTATGCCATCTAATTAAAGGCAATTCAGGGCAGGCCAATGTGGTTAATTTGTATATTCACACAGACACACACACACAGACACACACCAAATGACGTCAGAGACAGAAAATAAAGCAAAAAAGTGAAGATGAAGCAAATTAATTTGCACCTTTCAAGAAAAGTTTATAGAAAACAAAAAACCAAGAGCTTAAATAGTTCCACGGATACCCATAGATATATCTATAGAATTGCCTCTCCTCAATTATTTATTTATTCCCCCACTCATCAGACTTCATTTGCTCGTAATTTCTAATTCTACGAGTGTTCTCTGATGAATTATTAAAAGACTTTGAATGCAATTGTTATCTACTCAGAGAGCCAGTCCGTGCCCTGCCCCATGGCCCTGAACTCATTAAAAACTCGGACAAGATTGCCATGGAACAGGCACAGATACAGGTGGGTATACAGGTGGGTGGATGGATAGATGGTATGGCCATTAACAAACCTTCGATAGCCCTATCAAAAAATATATACACGACTGTGTATAAAAAAGTGGAGCAACACAAAACGGAACCCAAGAAATACATCAAAAAAATACAAAGAAATTGATAAGAAAATTGATAGGTTTTGGGGTGCTGTTAGAAGCGATAAGAAACTGCGCAAAAGATATGCTAAAAGCAAACAAAAACCAAGCAAAGCTTAGCAGATCGAAGCTATTGATACCCTATACAAATGGGGCAATTAATCAGAGGATTTGCTCATCATGGGATTGTTTTACTCTCAGTAAATCTATGAATTGATGGCTTATCAGCTATCAGCTTGAGGCAAATCTGATAAACTTTAAGTAAGATCTGTAATACAATAGACTTAAATATTCATTGATTAAAATTTAGTTAAAAACAATTTCGGGGTGCTCTACAATGGAAACTTCCTATGAAGATCTTAACTTGAGGACTTTTTGATTGGTTTCTGCTACTAATATTTCAAGGAATATTCCTGAAAAATATAGTTTTGTGGTTTACTTATAGATCTATGAGCCAGTCAGTCTTCTATAACAAGTAAATCTCTCAAATACCCTCAACCATACAATTATCCCATCATATCATTGTGTAAACACACATTGCCGATATTCCTATCAACATTTCGGACAGTTATCATCTATTGATTGACAAATATTGGGTGTAATCTTATAAAGAAACTCCCTCTGAAACATATACTTTTCAGGCACCTACTAAATGTACTAAATGATAAGCAGGGACACAAATCTTTTGATCGGGAAACCTACATAGCCTTACCCTAAGTCTAAGTACCCTAGTCTTGCACCTTACCGCCTGTAACCCTCAGAATATTGTTCAATCCCCCAATTGAGAATCTTCCATAATCTTTATAATCTTTTTTCCTGTTTTACTCCTTCCCCTTCCAGGCAAAACCCCCCCAAAACGATATCATTTTGATCGACTTACCGATTGATAAGCGTCGACTGCAATCTCTTGGTCGGCGGCGATGTGGGTGACGTGGGGGACTTGGAGCTAGACCGTGTGCCGACACCAGCAGCGCCGTTGCCAACTGAGCCTTTATCCTGTGGCTGCCGCGTTGACGGTGGCGGTGATGGTGTGGCCGCCGTCTTCGAGGTGGAGGTGGAGTTGCTGCTGCTGCTGCTCCTCTTGACAACGAGGGGCGGGTGGCGTGGCGCGACGACCTTGGGGGTGGTCGAGGGCGAACGCCTGGCACTGACACTAGGACTGCCCCGCGGACTGGGCGTGGTGGCCTTGGACACAGAGTTCGAGGAGCCCTGAGCGGGAGTGGAGCCGGGGGCAGAGATCTGGCCCTGCCCAGCCATGGCGGCGGCGCGGGTGCTGGACACTTTCGATTTCACATCATTGTAGTTGGTTTTGATCAACGGCTTGTTGCTGGCGATCTTATTCATAACGGCATCCCATTTATTGGGCGTATGCGATTTGGAGCTGCGCGGCGACTTGGAGCTGCGAGGGGGGGTGCCCGTCGATGGGCTGGTGGTGGATCTTGCGGCTTTTGTTGTGGTCAGGAGGGCTTTGCACGACTTGGGCGAGGCGATCGACGAACTGGAGGAGGCGGACACGGAGCCGCGATAGGTCTCGACGGTGCAGAGCGACGACAGTGAGGCGTGTGGACGCGGCGACGCTGTCGGCTGAACTGAAAGCGCCAGCGACGATCGGCAGCAGTCGCTGCCGCCGGCACTCGCCGCCGTCGGCGCGAAAGCTTCGTCGGCAAAGCTCTTCGTGCTCCCCCCATCGACGCTGCAGTACGAGGTTCGATTCGAGAGCGTTGTGGCCGCCGACGAGGAAGAGAGACAGCTGCTGGGGGGTCGCTGCTGCTGCTGTTGCGACTGCTGGCCTTGAACTCCCCCTCCCGCCTTGCGCATTGTTTGCGTGGAGTCATCCGGCGACATATCCACATCCGGGTCCGGTTCGGGATCCACCTCCAGCTCTGGCTGGCGCATCTCCTCGTCGCAGCGATTCTCCACATCAGTGAAAATCCCCGAGGACTCCATGCAGGAGTCCTCCATCTGCGGGACGGAGGCACTCGGCTGCATGGTGGGTCCGTACAGCTGTCCGTCGATCACCTGGGCCCGTCGATCGCCCCGCTGGAGCACATCGTCCGCATCGGATTCGGTGAAGAAGTCAGAGTCCGTCATGGGGTCCTGACGCCGCATGGGCGCTGCCGGAGCTGCGGCTGCCGCTGGGATGGGTGGCGGAAAGCTGGGCTGGCGGCTCACGCGCCCCAAATGCGGGCCGTTGCTGGGCGAGTGATCGGAGGCGCCGCGCGAGGCTGGACGGGACATTTCCCCATCGCCCTGGTAGCCCGTGTCCAGGCTGGTCACACTCGTGACGCTCGTGATGAAGCTGTTGCTCAGCTTCGACTGCCCCGAGGTGGGGCACGACGCCTGGCCGGCTGGCGGCTGGGGGCAGGCCTCCACCTGCTTCACAATCTCCGTTTTGATCTCGACGGGATCGAGGGGCAGCTCCTCCGGGGAGGGGGTCTGCTCCATGCGCAACTGCTGCATGTTGGGATGGTGCAGCCGGTGACCGCCTGCGGCCAGCTGCAGCTCCATGTTGTGGATGAGATTGTTGTGTTGCGGCGAGTCGAGGAAGTCCTTCATTTGGTCGGGCGTGAGGATGCCCAGGCTCTCGTCCATTTCGAAGGAGCTCTGCTTCTTGAGGAGCTGCTGCTGCAGCTGCTGCAACTGCTGCTGCGAGGAGGAGAACGAGTTGTCCACCAGCTCGAAGGAGCAGTCCAGCGTGGAGTCCGGCAGATCCAGGCTAAAGCTGTAGCGCGTGCGGCTCTGGGACGACGTCAGGGTGTTCTCCAGCGTCCCGTGCCGCTCGAGGACGGTATCCGCATCGGGCGTACGCGTCGGCAGCACCATTTCGCTCTGCGCCTGCTTCAGCAGCGGCGACAGCAGGTGCACCGGCTGTGGCGTCTGCTGGCCCATGCCCAGCCGCAGCCCGTGCGGCGTGGTCGCCGCCGACTGGGGCGAGAGGCACAGCAGCGTGTGTCCGTGGCCCATGGAGCGGCGTCCCGTCTGCGTGGCATGCCTGTGCGGCGTGGCCTCCATGAATTCCCGCGTCAGATTCAACAATTGGATGTGTCGGGCCGGCGACTGGAGCCCACTGAGATCCAGCAGGCGCTCCGTGTTCAGCGTGGAGTTCAGTGGCAGCTTCATGTTGGTCTTGTCCGGCGCCAGAGGCGTCAGCGTCACGTCCAGCGTGTCGTCCAGCTCGGTCTCTGGCCTGCCCTTGCCCGTGCCCCTGCCCCTGCCCTTGTCACTGGCGGCCACCACCGCATCCAATCCCGATGGCATGGACATGTGCTCCAGCAGCGGCAACTGGTCCATGCTCTGCGTTAGATTTCCTCCATTGGCAATAAACTTGGTGACATCTCCCGGGGAATCGATCGTTTTGGTGAGATTTCCCATTCCGGTGGAGTCCTTGGAGTCCTGGATCACCGGCATAGTCCTGCCCAGCATCTGGGAGGAGGCGTTGATTGTGTGGGTGGCATTGGCTGCCACCGAATCGTGACTCATCACATGCATCGTTACGCCAAATCCTGGGGAAAGAGTCGGCGACACAATCGTCTGGGTGGCATCTATGGGCGGCGCTATGGGGGAGCCCAAGGAGCTCATCTTGGTGCTGAAACCCTTCATCACCTGATGGGCCTGATCCAGCATTGTTTTGGGCGCATCCTTGAGGATTCGCGTGGCATCTCTGGCCAGGACCTGCGTGGCATTGGCATCTCCAGGCGAATCAAGGCCCAAAGTTTGACCGAATCCCAGACTGGAGAGCCGTGTGCTCTCCAATCGTGTCAGATTGAGGCTCTTCTCCTCCTCCTCGTCGCAGACGAACGTCTCGGACCGCAGCAGGGGCATGGGCGTGCTGCTGGTCAGCTGCTGGCTGCTGACCATGCCCCGCTTCCCGCCCGGCATGGGCGTCACGGGCAAAGAGCTCGTCATCGGCGTGTGCTTTGCTTGCAAATTTGTTGCGGCTGGAACTGGCGATTCCCCTCGAGAGCTGCTCCTGATCATTCCGTTGCTGGTGGTGCCAAAGTATTTCTTCAGCACCGTGGTGGTCCGCTTGCTGAGCAGACTCACGGCATTGTTGATCCTCTCGCCGCTGGCGCTCTTCTTGAGGCTGCTCCCCAGATCCCTGAGCGGCCCGGCGGCTCCTCCACTCGACGCTGCCGTGTGGACGCTGGCGGGACGCGGTCTGGCCGCTGCCGGCGCCAGTGCTGGGGTGCGAAAGATCTGCGTGGCCTTCAGGGCGCCGCCAGTGCTCGTCGGCGGTCGTATGTGTGAGGTGGTGTTCGGTGCGAGGCCAAAGCTTCCCGGCTGTGGTATCCGGGAATGGCCGTCCAGGCGGGGTATACGTGATGTGGCCGGATCCTGCCAGGACCATAAGAAAGAGAGAAATGTAATTAAGTTTGGCAATCTCGAAGGATTCTTGAAAAGTATGCAAATTATTTCAGCTGTCAGGGCAAACACTTTCCCCGACTGTTTTTCTATCCCCCGAAAACCGGATGACTCTGCGCATAAATTGCGTGGATACACTGGGAAAAATTGGCCTTTAAAAAATAGTAGAACTTGTACTTTTATGGATGTGGTTAGGGAAAAGGTCAAATGGATGGATTAACTCCCTTAATCATCGATAAAGTACCAGCACTACATGATTTCTGTGCATGTCATTCGTTTCACTTGATATCAGTTCGCTTATGGGACATTTACTCAGCAAATCCACGTCACTTTCCCCTGTCACAAAGATCTATGCAATGGGGCTGCATTTCCACCTTCCCCCCACTATAAATGGTGGCTACTCGGGATTTTAGAGCGAAAATATTGAATATCCCGCTCATCCGAAAGTGCTGATTGGTCCTAAGAACAAAGAATTCGACAGAAGAAGTGGCATTGCTTGAAGCAAAGAAATAGTTCACAATACTGCGTCAAATGAGGGTTTTGCGGGTCAGCAGGGCCCTTCAGTTCTCTTATTTGCTTCTTATTCCATTCCTAACCACCGTTTTGTACAGTGTAGTGCTTCTTACTGGCGCCAGCCGGGTCCCGGCATCCATCCTGGTACATCCTGCACGTGCTTTGACTTTTTGGCAGTAGCTGCCGTGTGGCCAAAGTAGTTCAGTGGGGCGTTTCCCAGTCGCCCACTTGGCAGCAGTTCAACGCACTTTCAACCAGCGCCAGGGTGGGGTTTCTTTGCCCTTTTGGCTGATGTCATCGGACATTATGCAGCTCCATTTCACTCTGTTGTCTCGGCTGGAGGGTTGGTCCCTGCCCAAAGCTAATTGCAGTTTAATCAAATCAGAAAAAAAAAAAGAGTCAGCCATAACAGCAGGAGTTTTATGGCAACATCGAGCCGTTTATGGCAATGGCAAAGGGTAGGAAAGTGTCCTGGTAGTGGTCCTGGTCCCGGCTATAATGAAATTATAGCATCAAGGGGGATATAATCACAGAGATGGCTAATTATGCACGAACAGGGGAGGGCACACGGGGAGGCGGTAGTCGTGGAGCCGTGTGGTTCGTAATAGATAAGTAATGCCATTAGGGAGTGGCAGTTACATAAGGCTCCCAGTTCGCATTAAGGGATTTAGTTTCAGACGGCGAATGTGACCTAATTTGGAGTTAAGTGTCGCACGTTTTGCAGGGGCGGCTATAGACATGTAATGGAATCTATTGGAAGTCCTCAGCAAGGAATGGGAGACTGGATCTGTAGTCCTAACGAGATCTCCACCTGCCTCAAAGGAAACACTGCCAATGAACTAATTCTGGCACTCCTTTTTCCTGCCTTGAACAAAATCCTCTCAATTCAATTTCCAACTCTTTGTTCTACAAAAAAAAGTTCATTTAATGTGGTAAATGCTTGTCAAACAATCAAACTTGAAACTTTACCATCGTTTAGTCAGACACGAGAAAGTTTCCTCATCTCTGGGGTTTCCTTCTTTTTTTTTTGGCTGTTGGTTGCACAATCTAAATTTGCTACATGCCACAATATGAAATGTACTCGATGGCTGTTTATACAGAGCCCAGAGCCAGGCCCCGACTTAATCGAAAATGCAATTTTCAACAGACAAGTTAAACAAGCCGCCAAGAGCCGAGAGCCGAGATCCAAGCCGCTGCCGTCGTCTCGAAGTTTCAACCTCGGCGGCATGAATGGATGAAAATGGGGATATAGAGAGGACGGGAATGTGGATGCCACACCCATGCCGTAGAGAGTGTCCTTGAACTTTTTCGCGTGAAAGTTTTCACAGCACCGGAGCCTAGAGCCCAGCCCATCCCTCTCCGAAGCGATTGTTATCAAGTGCAAAATGCACAAAAGTTTCCACCAAAGGCGTGTGTGGCACAAACTGTGTTCATTTCTCAGCCAGCTCCAATGCCAGTGTCCCGGCCTGCCACTTCCCACTGCCACTGGCAATGGCACCATATGTGGCCATAATTATTGGAATATGACACGATAACTGGGGGATTGGGGCCAGCTGCTCGGGGAAATTAAATGCGGCCGATAAGAGCGTTGTGGGTATTTGCATTATAACCTTTTCCCCCCATATGAGACGAGTCCCCTCTGCCGGGGGTTGCGCAAAGGATAATAAAGTAAAATATTACTGATTAATCAATAAGTTATGGCGGAATTTCATATTGCACAATTTGCGGGGGAATTTGTGTGGAATTCGAGAAGTGTTCTTCGAAATTGCTGGGTTTTTCTCTTTATTAAATGAGTTGTTGAATGAATTTGGGTTTTCAATATTAAGCATTTACAATCCGCTTCGTTTCTTCGGGCGGCATTGAGCGCGCCAAATATTGAATAATTCGCTCATCCGAAAGTGCTGATTGGTGCTGTGGACAGAGAATGTCCCCATTGTCATGAAATCAAATTAAAAATTGAGTCAGATGGAACGTATTCGCATAATTCAATGCTGCGGCAAATGGGCTATCGGGTCAGCGAGTATAATATCAAAGAATACAAAAAAAAATATTAAATAATAAATAAAAAATATTAAATAATAAAAAAAAATTAATTACTATAAAAAAGTATATTAAAAACAAATTATTATATATTTAAAAAATAATATTACATAATAAAAAAAAAAATAATATTAAATAATAAAAAAATAATAATATTAAATAGTACAAAAAAAATTAATATTAAATAATAAAAAAAAATTAATATTAAATAAGAAACAAATAATTAATATTAAATAATACAAAAATAATTTATATCAAATAATAAAAAAAAATTAATTTTAAATAAATTCCACTGAAAATGGAACCCTTTTGGCTTTTGATTTTTGGTTAACCCTTGCCTTTCCAACCGAACATTCCAGAAGTACTTACGTTTTTCCAACTGTTTTTCAATGCAATGTATAGGAAGTCTTATAAGGTTGAAGCCAAGTAATTTCTCAAACTAAAACTTTAATTTCCTTCCACCTTTGGGTAGAATTCATTTAATTTAATTTCTTTAAAAGAAAAAATCGCAACTTCGATTATAAACAAAAGTGCGAGGGCCAATTGGTGCACTGCATCCAATATTTGTCACGGCAATATATATTTTACCGCGCCCGGGGACCGACAATCCGGCAGCACAAACAACTACACAAAAGAGGCGATACGCATCGATTGGAATACAAATAAATACTGTCACAACAAAGTGAAAGAAAGTAAGTAAACGAATACAGCACACGAAGGGGAAAGCCGGGCACACAGAGAGAGTGAGGGTGGGTAGAGCAGGATATAGTTGGGGGAAGGATATACCACCACCATCCCACCAGGCACCACCGACAACGACAGCGACAACGAGACCACCAGCTGCATGTAGGTTAAGCGCAAACGCATGTCCTTTGCCCATTGACAAGTCAGCGGAAGAACCGAGAACCGAGAAGGGAACGGAACGGAACGGAACGAAGCAGAACGGAACCACAACGGAACTAAATAAAATTTTATCGATCTCCATATACTGGGATTTAATATATAGTCTGTCCATAAAGCGGTAGCAGCACCGCCCACTGTCACCATAGAATTTTAGCATTTTGTATACCCTTTCGAAAGGGTTGTTACGATTGAGAACAAAAGTCGTCCACTGCTTTCAAGCTTTCCATAGATGGGATATCATATTAAATGCCAGAGAAATTATCGCAATTTCTTCTTTAAGGGTATCTCCAGCTTCGAACCCAAAAAGCAAGCCATCTTTTCGTACATTTTTCCATGGATATTAATAGTGTTCAGCGCGAGGCAAGGGGCGCCACTTGAAGTCAGATTTGGCTTGACTTGCGACTTCTATACACACCCCTTAAACATATATAGTATACCCTTTGAGTAGAAGCTTGTGGCATGCATAATTTGCATTACCCATAGCCCCAGCCCAGCAGCCCCCCCGCCGTCAATCAATAACGATTTTGTGGCGCTCTCGAGGCTATGAAAAGGCAAGAAAAGAACGGGCAAAAATATTGATGAAATGGTTTAACATTGATTGAATGATTTTCCTCATTTCTCTATTGCTGAGGGCTGGCTTTGGCGGTTTTCTATTTGATATTCAGACTTTCTATTAATAAAAGAGGGAATATTATTACTAAGAAATTACTCCCAAAAGGGTTAAATGAGGCAGAAATACTTAAACCCTTGAAAAAATTCAAATTCTGTAAGCAATGTTGATATATCTCTTTCAACCCAAGTTTTAATCAAATTTTATGCCTCTCCACATATCAAATAAAGCACTTTACCAAATTTTCACTCAGTTTTGGGTATACAAACATTTCCGTACTAAAATTTAAACAAACACTAGAAATTTTCTCTTAGATTTAAGACTTAAGCATATTGAAAAACACAACCAGAAACCACTTGAAGTGGCCAAAACCTGGTCTGGGCCAGGCTCACATGGAAGGCTTCCATAAACATATGCACATACATTGGGTACGGTACTCCAGCAGGAAAGCACCCTTTCGGTTTACGACAGACAGCAAATGGAACTACCCCAATGACTTTTTACCAGCCACCTACGTCCAGATCGAAACAGCTCAATCAACCTGAGTCCTGTCTGGTCTCCTCTTGCTCCGAGGTTGTTCCTGTTTCACCCTCTCGCATATATATTTTACAGCGAAGGCTACAAAGCATTTTCACAAGCCATTAGCTTGTATCCATCAGGAGCACTAAGCAGTTTATCCCACCAGCAGCAAGACAGCGGAAAAAGGAGGAGCAGATGCACGCTACTGAGAGTATCTGCTGGATACTTGAGCTAAAAATTACCAAATGAAGTAGGGGGAAGATGGAAATACCAATACTAGCAGCCACCCTAGAGCCATGAAAAAATTAATAAATGGCCTTTAAAAACGTGTGATGGAAACCAGAAACTTTCTTGCTATATAAAAAATTAATCAATATATATAAAATAA